CCATTTTAAGAATAACAATTATATAAAAAGACTTTGGAAGAAATTGATAAAGAAAGTTAAAAGAAATATATATCTAAGAGAATTCTATAGATCTGGATTTGAATCGTAATTTAGTAGTAGCAATTTAGGAACACAAATTTAGTGTGGCAGAATATTAATTTGGTGTTGAGGGATAACGGAGATGAGCCAAAAGAATCCGAGAGTTAACTGACTCGATCTGTTACTTACAGGCCATTTTTATAAAGTTGGTCTTTGTTGGTTGCGCTTTCATCACTTTGGTCACTTATTTCTGCTGAATAATGCCACGGATTCCGGCCATAATCAACTGTCACAACACCTTTTTTTTTTATCGGAGAAGATGATCGTGAATCGAGCAACCATGAATTTGGCCATAACCAGCTTTAATGGAGTTTTGAGTTTTACATTCTATTTTTTGTGTTAGATTTGAATCTAGACTCACAAACGCTTGACTAATGTACTTGTTCCTAATTTTGCTTTATAATAGGAAGGTGATAAATGTGAATTTTTTATCGTGGTCTCGTCAATGGAGATTAGGTGAAGAACAGAAAGAGATGGAAGGAAGAATAGTTAAGGGGTATATTTGTAATTTCGTATTAATTTATTTTATTTTAAAATTAATAACATGCGTCACTATATTATTGACGTGTGATATGCCTCACTTTTTCTAAGACGCTTAAATATAAAAGTAGTATGTATTGGACAAATTCTGAAAGAGTTAAAGTGTGTAAAGTTATTTTTGTCCTCAAAAGTATGTAAAACTAGTTGGTGGGGCCCAATGTTTAAATGTTTATTTGTCTAACTACTATATGCAAAATATCATCATCTCTTCAGTTGAACTACCACTTCTTTCATATGATGGACCAAATCTGGCAAGTAAATGGTCCAGAACAACATAATAGTATAGACGAAAATGTTCTTATAAAAATAAAATTTCTTGAAATAAAATACAATTCCTTTTTTAATTAATTATAACAAGAAATTATTTGAAAAGTACATTTTTAAGTTGGACCCTGCCACTTTTACTTAAATGGAACACGTGCCATTACTTAATTTGTGATCATATCAATTTTTACCAAACTGCCAATTTGATACTGTTATTAGAATGAACCCATAGGAGTTAGACTCAACTAACTAATTGTACTAGTGCAAAGGAAAGAATGGAAAACTAAGACAACTGTGTATGTTATATTTGTGCTCGTTTCTCATGTTGATTCATAGCAGGAAGCTAGTCCGTCACTACTAATTGGTACTTTTTATTTACTTATTTATGATGATAGATGCATTTGCTATAGTTTTATCATAATGACAAACCTGTTAAATATAGAGCCGATTTGGCCGTCCTAAGATCCTATGTTAGCAATTGCCATCTAATACATTCTAGGGCTTCGCATACTTTTTCAATTGACATAAAATCTCAATTTGGGCTTGCAAAAAAGTTTATTCTTTTAAAAAAATTTCAAATTAAGAGATCTTTTTCCTAATGGCAACAATTGTTAAGCTCTCTATCACTCTCATTCTCCTCCATTAGGCATTATATATTCCTAAAGCTAACTTTTGTTATAACTTCTTGCTGAAAGTAGAATTAAAAAGACCAAAAATATTGTGACACAAATAGCCAGCCATATTCAATGTTACTTTTTGTAACCGATATACATATATTATATATATTTATACATATATTATTCATAAATTATACATATAAATTATATATTCGCTGGTTATTTTTAGTTTAAAAGATTAAGTGAGCGGTTATTTGAAAAATATTGTGCTTGTAGGGACAAAAGTTGATTTATGAATATCGGGAGAAATTAAAAAATAGCAAGATTTACAAGTGGTCATTCAAAAATAGCCAAAATTTCAAAAGTCATCGAAATTTAGTCATTTTTCATGTAAAGATAAATCTGAACGAAAACACTGTTAAAAATCCGAAAAATACTCCAGCATAATATACTGGAACTCCAGTATATTATACTGGAGCCAGCATAGTATATCGGTCCAGCATAATATATTGGAAGTTCATACAGGGATGCACCGAACTCCAGTATATTATGCTGGATCGGTCTCTGTTGCAGCAAAATAGTAATTATTTTTTAATGACTTGGCAAATGCCGACTATTTTTAAATGATCAGTTCGAAAACTGGCTAGCCCTGCTATAACATGAATACTTTAGCAATTTTGAAATGCGGAAATGGGCCGAATTTGGAGTAGAGCAATTTATGTTGACAGGAAAAGCAGCGAACTAATGTTGCGTATGTTTGTGTAGTCTAGAACAATAGCCAAGTAGTTTAAAATTGTATGGATGTTATCATCGGATTACCTTTTTGGTTCTCTTGTCTATGTTTTTGGTTTGTTACAAAAGACTAATCAGACAATGAAAATTTATCATTGATGCATTAATTATACATGTGAAAGGATGTTATTATTGTGATGTTGCTTAACGACTAAAACTTAGCACAGTGCTTTGTCAAACTTAGATTCTAGCTTTATCTCAATTTGGTGCTTAATCACACATGTTTTGTAGTTTAGTTCCACGCTAATTATATTGAATTGCTTAGTTCTCACTAAAAGTTACTTAAGTTCAGATAGATCCTCCTAAATCTAAACTTCTCCGTAAATTGACCAAGTCCTCCATCTCTATTTGCAATAAAAGATACTACCACAAAGCGTTAACAACATTCTACTGCGCATGAAACTTACCTTTGGTTCACAATTATTTCGCTTCTTCTGAAAGGGAGTATATTCTGCATTTTTATTAAATTTATAGTTTGATGAAGTCATGTTATACTCACCTTCACTACAAACATGAGTTATACATAACGTTAATCCCACAAGATATTCATGGTCATCAAATAATTACATAGCTTTTAAAAGAGCTAGGATATACAATATTCACCCCTCCACCCTCCTTTGAGCGTGGGGGAGCTAGCTATATAAAGCTAATATTTGTCTTAAAGATCTATTGAATATGCATGAATTATTAATTTGGAACCCAATAACTTAAAATAACCAGAATTCTGAATACGATAAATTTCAATTTCTGACTTTATCTCTGTCTTGAGGTTACTATGATTAATTATTTGTGGCAGCTTGTTTATAAATGACATGGTTAAGCTGCAATCTAATTTAGATCACTCTGTCTAAGTTAGATGTTGACTCTAGGTAAGTAGAATAAGGTCCGTTTTTCTAACAAATGCTAGAAAATTGGTCCCCGAGTACAGACCCCACCCCCATCCCACAAAAGGGGAAAAGAAAACAATTTCAGTATGGTGAACCTTGTTTAATTAATAACCTTATCGTACGTGTTTGATGGTTCTCGGACTTCTAATTAAATGTTGTTATTCCCGCCAATATTGTTGTATTTGTAAATAATAATTCTGCAAAATATAAGTTAATGTAATGAAACAGTAATTAATTCGAACCCACTGAATTCACAGTGTTTCCTTAAGAAATTTATTCCCCTCCTAGTACCCAAGGTAATGGATTATTTCCTCTCAGGATAGAACGAATCACACACTGGTGTAGCGGTACTTCAAACCCCAGTGTTTCAGCGAACACAAAGTTCGGTAGCAAATCACACTTACAGTTGCTTTGTTTGAAGTTAAAACAATGCAGAACGAAGGAGTAGAAACTCAGAAAATCGTATGGAAATGCTGAGAGTAAGGAGTGCAATGTATAGCCAAATCTGTTGAGCGATTTTCAGTTTGTTGGTCTTGTGTATTGTGTGTTGTGTGTTGAGTGTCTTTCTTCAACATCTGCTGCACATATATATAGCAGCCAGTGTTGAAGAAGACCAAACGTCCACCCTCCATGGTGGAGCAAGCATTAGCTTGTTTGTGGAACAAGCACATTCATGTTGGGAAGAGCATTAGGCGGCTGCCAAATGGTCAATACACGGATTGGAAAATATCCGTTACAAATGCGGATAATCTTACGTTAATATTTACTATTAATAAATAAATTTGGTCCAAAAAATTAATCAATCATTTGACCGAAGCCGAAGCCGAGCCGAGCGACGACGACGACGGCGCGAGGCTTGATTTCTTCTTAATTCTTTAAGAGCTACAAGAAGAGCAATTATATATATACCCACCAAAAATCTCTTCCTCTTCCAATATGGGACAATGTCTCATTGTCAAGAGAGGGAAACTTAAAATTTTACTCAAAAATTTCATTTTCCCTCCATTTCCCATTCACCCTCATTTTAAGACTATTTCATCTTAAAAATTGAAACCTCAACAAATGTATGGTTCTAATATGAGAACTAGAGCATCTAAATTTGTCAACATTAATTAATTAGTACTTACTGTTGTTATCGGTCCTTTAGGCCCCATAATCAGGGAAGGTAAGGGCTAATAAATACGAGAAGTGGGTAAAAATTATGGGATGCTAATTCGTGACAAAAAATACAATAACAACAATCCAGTATAATCTCACTAGTGGGGTCTGGGAAGGGTAGAGTGTGTACGCAGACCTTACCCCTACCCTGGGTAGAGAGGCTGTTTCCGATAAACTCTCGGCTCCCTCCCTCCAAGAACTCCCCACCACTTTGCTCTTGCGATGACTCGAACTCACAATCTCTTGGTTGAAAGTGGAGGGTGCTCATCACTAGAGCAACCCACTCTTGTCGACAAAAAATAATATAGATTAATTGTATTTTTTATTTGCCTAAGTTTTGATGGGCTACTTCACCACTACTTATGTTGAATGGTAATAAGAAATAATTTAAATGCACACACTGGATCAGACACCATCGCTATAAATTAAGTTTGAACAAAAGTTACATACTTTTCCTTGAGAATAAGGTGCATAGCCAAGACTTGGACTGAGTCAGACTTGGGCATATACTTGTCAATCAATATCTGTCCTATTAGCACCCCTAGCTAGCTAACACTTATTTTCTTTGAAGTTTGGCATGGAATTTTCTTTTTAAATTGAAGACTAACTTACATTAAACGGTAAAGAAAGCAGAAAATTCCGGGTCTTAATTAAATGTGTGTTATTTAGTGTATTGTTCAACACTTGAATACGAAGATATATAGTAGCTCCACAAGGCTTTTCGATGATCAGTTTCAACTCAGAAACCCCGTAACACATGTGACAACCAAGACTATTACTTATTACTTTGTTTTCATTAATTATTTTTCTTGATTCCAGACTTTCCTCCTTAAAACCATCAATTTGGTAAGTTACTTGTATTAATACACAGTCCTTTGTGAAAAAAAATGCTCTTTCCCTCTAACCACAACTTATAAGTAGGTGTTTATAGCAATATATNAAGGCCAGCTTTCCAAACAAATTCAGATGTGGGAGCAAAATGGAGATATCTCAAGAAGAAAGCTACAGCAACCTTAACAACTTCATTGCTGCTTTTCTTCTTTCTACTTGCAGTTTCTATCTCGTCCTTGGCTGGATGGTTTGATCTTGTAAGTCAATATGACATCTCCCACTATATATATACATATATATATTTATCTCGACTATTTCACTGTGTATATGCTCTTGTTTGTACTTTTGCCTTATTGTTATTTTAATGCATAAACATAAATGGCGTTAAAAGACATGTAATCAAATAGTTCAGTCAACTATGCTTGTATTTTTTTTTAAAAATCTCTGCACCTCTATTTAGTAGATGAATTTGATATTGAAAGACTATGTTTATTTATTATTAATACAAAGTATGATATTTATACAAGTACAATTATACTTGGGTAAGGATGTGATATGCATGGAATATCTTACAATAAGGGAAGATAACAGTGTATACAAATAAATCAAATATTACTAAAGTTAGATATGCTAGGTCTGCATCCTTATTAATTACTACTTTATCCCGGGGAACTATCGCTCAATTCATATTTCTTTATTTTATTTCTTTTAAATGATGGTTAAAGATAAAATCACCGTATCTAGAAATTACACTAAAAAAAATTAGTACTACAATATTTGAAAATTATACATTTGAGAAAATTACCATCAAAGAAAAAAATTGACTTTTCATACGTAGTTAGAAAATATAAAAATAGATATAAGGTGCATTATCTTTTGTTGGAATGAACCGCGATTTCATGAATTTCATTAGTACCATTTTCCCCCTTCTCATTTGAAGTTTTAAATTAGGGATCTTTTAAATTAAGCTTTGTCAAAGAGAACTGGTTGCTACTCCGTATAGGTTCAAATGTAACAAAAAATTTCTTCATTTCTTCCCTCCTCATTATTAATATTATTTTCTAAAAATAAAATCCATCCACATCGCAACTCATCCTAGCTCAATCAGATGTAATTACCTGTAAAAACTTATTTGCACGGGATATTTATATGGTATTTATTTATGAAAATAAATGCATGACAGTATTTTCTGTCTTTTGATTCTTCTTAATCAGTACTACTCCTTAAATAAAAGCTGATTTAAAATTTCCACTGAGTTTGGTTAATTATAATTTCTTTAAATTTATACAGGCAAAATATACTGGTCATTCCTATCAAAAAGTAGAAGGCCCAATAATCCAGCCCCAAATTCTTGAATTTCCTTTGGATTGTGGTGCATGGAATCAGTCCAATACATGTCCCAGAAACTATCTTAAATCTTATAAACCCTTAAACCCTAATAACTCAACATGCCCTGAGTATTTTAGATGGATTTATGAAGATTTAAAGCCTTGGAAGGAGACAGGAATCACTAGGGAAATGGTGGAGAAAGCCAAAAGACATGCACATTTCAGATTAATAATATTGGATGGAAAAATTTATGTTGAGAAATACAATACAAAGAGATTTATTCAGACTAGACATTTGTACACTATGTATGGGATTATACAGCTCCTAAGGTGGTATCCTGGAAAATTGCCTAATTTGGAGATCATGTTTGACACCGATGACCGGCCGGTCATCCGATCACAGGACTACCGGCAACCTAATTCCGGTCCTCCGCCGTTGTTCCGCTACTGTTCAGATTGGCATAGTTTGGATATTGTCTTCCCAGATTGGTCATTTTGGGGCTGGTAATTACCTTGCTACTGATCCTTTTTATTTTTTGTCGTTTAAAGTTTTGACACACCCATTAAATGAATTATTTAATATCTCACTAATTGTAAGGTTTATTTGATCTTACTTAAATGAGTAACTACTGAATATGGTGCCTTGACTGCGAGTAGTAAGGGTGGAGTTAGAAATTAAAACAACTAATGCATTTTTTGTTTTCTAAAATAACAAATATTCTGGGACTATTTTCTTTTTGGCTAAAGTGACGGAGTACTTTTATGGATCCCAAAAATAATAGCCAAAAAATTATATATATATTTTTGTATATATGTGTATTATAATACAAAAATATACATATTTTATATATATTTTGGTTAGCAAATACAATTAGTTGATTTTGTATTTTGCCCTAATTTTTCTCCGAACTACTTTAGTTACCAACATACAATTATTTCATAAACCTTTGCAAACTGATAATTTTCACATCTTAAGGATTTGCTCTTCAATTTTCTTTTATATTCAAATGCGATGTGCTGTTCAAGATTTTACGCAGTAACCTCTTCAAATTGTGTAAAATGTCTCTCTTTTTTTTGTGGAAATGATTATGTTTTGCCTTTTGTTTAATAGCCGCAGATTTCCTCCTCTTTTTTTTTTTTGGTAACTATGAACTTTTATTAATTACCAAGAATAATACATATCCGCAGCCTAGCTAACTCTGCTAGCTGACCAAATCAAAAATCACAAAAAAACAAGTATAAAACTCTAGAACACAAGCTGCTGCAATTTACTCCTAATTCTAAGGGGTGCTCTGTCAATATTGAGGAATGCTACCTGGTTGATCCTAGTTTCAATTTCTTTTACCAAACTCAATTATACAGATCCTTATGGGAAGGCCAATTCTACATAACCCAATACCCCGATTTCATAAAATGATTATGTTCTTGTTAGAGGAACAAGACATTATAGTATCATCATTGACATAAAGATTGAAATATTGGTTGAAGTCTTCCAATTATTTATATGACTTTGATCATGAATGTGACATTAATATTTCTCTTTTGGCCTAACCTAGGAAAGGCTACCTAATTGTTTGCACAAAGATATTTGGAGTATAAAATTCATACAAGAAAATATTGACTTGCGTATATTCCTGTCAAGAAAAATTCACTTTCGACGCTATTAAATAAAAATTGGACACGAAGAATTTAAACATGATTATTTTTGCTTATTAAATTTTGTAGGGCAGAGACAAATATAAAGCCATGGAGAAGTGTGACTAAGGACATAAAACAAGGTAACGAAATAACCAAATGGAAGGATAGGTTACCCTTTGCTTATTGGAAGGGAAATCCCCATGTTTCTCCTATCAGAAAAGATCTAATGAAGTGTAATATTACTGACAAACAAAACTTTGATACTCTCTTATACGTCCAGGTGTGTACTGCCATTATTTTCTTCACATTTATAATTTTTATATTCCCTCTTTCCTTTTGTTTTTAAATGAAACATAAAAAGTCTTATCTAAAATCAGTTTAATTATATTACAATTGATTATCATCTATAATATTGTTTTCCTTTTTTTTTCCCCAAGAAATTGTAGTTTCATTAGTTGAATACTGATACCTAGACCATAGTAACATATACTTTATTGCTTAATGACAAATCCTCAGGACTGGAATGATCAATCCAAAAAGGGGTTCAAGGAATCAAATCTTGGAAATCAATGCACCCATAGGTATANCTGCGATTCTCCAACATTGTATATAAAACCTCGTTACCATGATTTCTTCACGAGAGGGATGATTCCTCAGCAACATTATTGGCCCATTAGAGATAATGATAAATGTCGGTCCCTCAAGTTTGCTGTTCAATGGGGTAACAATAACACTGACAAGGTACAATTACTAGCGGATTTACATCGACAAATTAAATATGATTTAGTCTGGTGGTTAATGTCACTTTTTGTATGTAGTATTTTTTACACCGTCATTTGATAAAACTTAAACTCAGTTATTAATGATTCATGGGAAGGCATTTTTGTTTTGAATATCTTGACAGGCAGAGGCGATAGGGAAGTCAGGAAGTAATTTTATTCAGGAAGATATGAAGATGGAATATGTGTTTGATTACATGTTCCATTTGCTGAATGAATATGCAAAGCTGCTCAAGTTTGAACCAAAAGTTACAGCAGATGCAGTTGAAATATGTTCAGAATCATTGGCATGCACTTCAGAAGGTATTTGGAAAAAGTTCATGGAAGAAGGCTTAGAAAAAACTCCTAGTTACACAAATCCATGCACTCTTCCTCCACCTTATGAACCTCAAGAAATTAAATCTTTTGTTGAACAAAAGATAAAAGCCACACAACAAGTGGAGGCTTGGGAGGATGAATACTGGAACAAGAAGCAATAGGGCGAGGTCGAGCGTAATCTCACTTGGTGAACTCCGTGTCTTCCGAAGTTGAGGTAGAGGGTTCAGATCCCGTTACTGGCGTAGCATCTCCTTCTCCTTGATCCCGCACCTCCCCCGATGTAATAAACAAAATTTAAAACAAGCAATAGGACCTTTTTAATTTTTGCAACTTAATTTCTTTCCTTTGCTAATGTATATTGATAGCACTTGTATTAGAAAATACCTTAATGTATTGTTACACTACAAAAAAATTACTAAATTGTGGCGATTAATTTATGGGAGTTATAAGAAACTCTCACTATATATTTGTTTTGTGGCGTTTGCGTCAACTCCTACAAAATAATTTTTTTTGTGGTGGTTTATTTGTGGGGTTGTAAAAGACTTCCACTATATTTTCAATTTATGGCGTTTGTTCTAACTTTCACAAAATTATTCGTATTGCGACAGTTTTGTTGTGGAAGTTTTATGATACCTCCAGAAATGCAAATTTAATTGTCTGCAAAATCTTTGCCATTCGATATAAATTGGAGGCCACTAACTCATGCAATATTTAGTCATTTTTTCTACCATCTTTTGAAAATCTAATCAAATTGCACATTTTAGTTAAATTTCTACAAATTGATGCAATTTATGCCAATTTTTAACCCTTGCCATTTTTTGTCTTTTCCCCAACATTCTACCCCTACAAAAAGTAGACACAAAAACAGAGGTTTTCCATTATCTCCATATATTAGTTATTAGTTTTTCTTTTATTGTCTTCAGACATTTTTTTATTTTGTATATTCATCTTTAGCTAATGAAGGATTGAAATACCCCGACAAATAATTTAGTCATAAGTAAAAAATTCAATAAAGGCTATATAGAAAAATATTTATCAAACTAGATAGAGAACAGGGATTTTTATTCACTTATAAATTCTTGAATATCTCTACATCGAAGCTACCACGACCCAATTCCACTTATAAATTGTGATGGCGCCCAACACTACAATTAGGCAAACTAACTAATAAATTAAACATATATCGATTATTTCCAGAATAATTTTTCCAAGAAATTTTATTATGTTATTAGCAGCCTTAAAGAAAATGAAAAGATACCGATAAATTTAAATCCAAGAAAAATAATAAGACACCAAATTCTACCAATGTGTGTGTCAAGACCCGGTGTCACAAGTGTATGATCATCTAGTAGATTATACAAAACTTCAAATATTGTCTGAAATAAAAATAGACATAATGAAAATACAAGGAGAGCCACAAGTAGCTGCAGGACGGCTCAGAAAGGCAGCTCACCACTACGCCTCTGGATAACGAGGATGTGCGATGATAGGTCTTCCACTAGTACATGTCTCTGATCCTGCACAAAAAGTGCAGCAAGTGTAGTATGAGTACGTAAACAACGTGTACCCAGTAAGTATTAAGCCTAATCTCGAAGTAGTTGAGACGAGATGGTCGACTTTGACACTCACTAAGGGTCAACAATAATAAATAGAATAAAATAAAAATTATTTAATTCATCATGATTCACAGAATTAACAATAATTTTACTAAATCAGCAGGAATAATTAAATTCTTCCAATTTCAACAACTTCCAAACCATTTATTAAATCCACAAGCTGCAAATTAAAAATATCGTGAAATCGTGTATTTATTATTATTATTATTAAGCACGATTTCTGGCGAGGTCGTACAGCTTGATCCAGAGTGTCATGTACACTGCCGAGGGACGTGCGACACGATTCATAGATGCATCTATCTTGCCGAGGCGTTCGGCGCGCTCTACAAGAAAGGAGGACATTTTCTTATGTACCTCCAAAAGGAAAGTATATTTATTATAAGATCAATTCGAGAGGGTGAATAATTTCTTTTAACAATTAATTACTTTAAACATAAAATTAAACATACGAGATTTTCATCTTTCAATATCTTCCCTAACAATTCACAATGTGTGTGTGTGTGTGTGTGTGTATATATATA